CAATTAAAGGAGAAAAGTTCGTTTTAACCGAAAGTTCACTATAACCGGGTTCATTATAAGCGGACTTTACTGTAAGTACTTTTTATGGCAAATTAGAGCTAATTGGTATTTTTAATAACCTTTATATTTTTGAAAATATCCAATGCCAAACTTAACCATAATTTTTGATACTCAAATTCATAAATCGAAAACTCATTTAATTCTTAGAAATTTTTGGTCACATGAAAACTTGGAGGAGTCGAAAATGCTCGATTCATTGGTCTGGCTCAAATCGGAAACTTATAGTTTCTCATTACGGCATTCAAAAATCATTAACCACATCTATTAACTATGTTCCGGTCGAACTAGAATGCATTCATCATCATTTTCTGATTTTTGGGAAGCATTTCAGTTGATCGGTACCACAACTTACCGATTACATGGAGTTAAATGGAGTTTTTATTTCTTCCACTTTTCCGAATCGATCTGAAATGGAGTTGATTCGTATTGGTCTCAATACTAATTGGTGTGAATTTCAAACAATTCTAACGTCATTTGACAATTCTATTAAATTTTGAAAATTTCCCGTCCATAAGGGCGTGTACAAACTTTTTGGTCTTCCACTTGTAGCTTATAGGGGATTTTTTTTGAACCAACCAAAGTTGACTTCTCATGTAACTTTTCCATATCTAACCACCTGTCAAGGAATGGTTGAAAAAAAAATAAAAAATTTTGGTGTAGACCCCTGCGATTTTTTTGAAATTTTACATTGTTTTTTTCTCAAAAACGAAGCTTCCTAGTGGAAAAATGTATTCTGTATAAAATGTCGGGTTTATTGAGTACTACTCCATGGTATTTTTTCAACTTTCGAACTTTCATAGTTTTCGACAAAATCGCGAAAATATGGTTTCCAAAAAACTGCAAATATCTCGGTAACCAAAAGAGCTGAACTGAATCTAATCTACTCTCTAAGTACAGACGATCGGATGCCATAAAAAAGTTGCTATTCATTTTTTCGCTACATTCGATAATAAGCGAGCTATTGACGATTTTCTAAAATCATACAAAATTTTGGGGAAAAATTTTCGAAATTCTTCCCAATTTTGCGATGTCAAATTTCGCTCAAATTTTGACATAGGAGGTCTTAAGTGATTCAAATCAATCCATTACACACGATTTTTTTGAATCCTTTTCAAGTATAAGACCGATGACGTCATTACGTCCCACCAAGAGTAAAGTTTTGGGAAAATTCAAACTTTTAGAGTGTCAATCAAATCGATCGACAGTAGATCGATAATGTACCAAAGAACGTGCCAATACTGCTTTTTGTTTGTTAGCGACAAACATTCAATGTTTTGCTTTAACATGGGCTCTTATAGAAGCAAAATTTCCGTTTTCCTTTTTGAATGTCAAAAACGCCGAATATTGTCAAACTCTTTGACGGGTGTCTTCGTGTCTTCAAAACAGTAGGCTAAAAAAACATTTTCATGTCGCTGTCTTGACCGATTTTTCAATCCACAATATAGGAAAAAGCCAAAATTTTGACTTTAACCTTTAATTGAGCTACCTCATTGTTCTGGGTTAATGAGGTTCCACAACTGGATCGCCCCATTATCTGACTACAATATGGTGTTAAAATTCTCAAAATCCCTTAATTGACTCGTCCAGGGTCCGTTTTATGCAAAAATGTCCTGCTGGATTGTCTACACCCGTAAATGGGGAGTTCGGTTAAAAAAATAACAGTTGAAAATCAATATAGAACCTTTATATCTAATAGGCCTAGAATTTTACGAATAGCTCGAATTTGCAATAAAAAGTACCTACGGCATTCTATTAAAAAAAATGTAAGTTTGGTCCGCCCCTGGAATTTGAGACACCCTGTATCAATTGGTATTATCTTAAAATAAACTACACGCTAATATCTACAACTTTTGTTTTTGGCATTTTTCTCCAAATTTCAGATTAGATGCAAAAACGGGGGGGGCAAAGTTCAATCAATATTCCGGTACATACATAGAAAGTATTTAAAAAGTACGTAAAATGTACGCAGGTGCACACCTAAAATGAACGCACGTGCGTACTTGTACTACATACGCTCATAACAGTACGTTCCAGAGATCAAGATTTTTCAGCTTGCACTTTCCTGCTCCCTGCAGAATCTACAGCTTTTAATGTGCGATATGCATTCGATTTTTCAGGCTTCTGGTTGCGTTCCCGACACTCAAATGAGTTTTTAAATTTGCCAGCTCGAACACTTGGAGGCGTTTAGACAAAGCTTCAACTGGAAAAGGATGCTTGAGCTTAACTTAACTATTTTCCTGCTTAGGAAGTGGGAAAATGGCTGCAAGAAACCTACTGAAAGATAAACATTCAAGTTCTATTGGATGAGTGGAGGGCACATTGGATTTTTTAAGGGAAGCTACCTTGCGAGAGTCTCAACATATGGAACAACCCCGTAAAGAAACTTACAGGCTCTGCTACTTTCCTGAGTTATGAAAACGGCTGCACGTTTCTCATTATTGAGCCCTCCAGAACATAAAAATTAATTTGCGCAAAATGTGCATCTGACTTTGATCGGAAATTTACGAATCTGGGGCTTTTATTATCACGCTTCAATATGCGAAATTATATCTAATAAATCTTATGGATTTTTCGAATTTTATGAGATATGAAAACGGTTATCCTCCTGCCTGTTTCAAAAAAGTCCTACATGTTGCAGCTGTTTTTCCCGATTTCAACGCAAAATTTCGAATTTGATGCTATGAGGGAAAAATTTAATGTTTTGCCACATTTAAAGGATTTCTGCAAGCTTCAAGGCTTTTAAGCGACAAATGAGTTCAGTGTGCACGCCCAGAAAGCCGGGGACATAGAAATATATTGCGAACATAAACTTTCGAGATTTTCTTCATTTAAGGATAAAAACGGCTTCAAGAGATGGGTGCAAGACTGGTTTTCACTACTACTACTACTACTAAATTTTGCAAAAACCTAAAAATTACCCCTGTCTTCAAGGCATCGAATCCCATGCAGACACTCTTGTATATACGAGATTCTAATAGGCATTTTTCTATTTCTATGAAATATGAAAACGGCTGCAAGGTTAAAATAAAATTTTGGGGGCACCTGAAGGATTATTGCTAGCTTTAAGACTTCCGAGTTTTTTTGCACGACGCACATTTTGACCAGAACATTTTCAAATTATTTTACCCAAGTGCTACGGTAGCCGCCGCACCAGATTCTAAATCGAAATTTACGAATT